AATGGAGCAAACAGCCGAGTTGGTGACCTTGCTAGCAACTCCAGCGTAAGATGTCCACTCTTGTGAGTCAGAGCAATAAATCCTGTGGACACCTTTTGATTTTACTTGCTTGACATCCTGCTGTTGTCAACCCAGTCTGTTCTAATTTTTGAAGTTGCAGGAAATAATTCATACCACTTAAATAATTCCTTTTGTACAAGGTGAACTGCTAGGATAGGTATTACCTAATGTTCTGATGTTTTGTTGGAAATAGCTTTTGCCTATGTAAGTAATTTCTTATTCTTTGAGAGTTAATGAGAAAGAAGCATATTTGTTATCCTTCAGAGTAGCATAGTTCTTGTATGCCAAACTCCTCCTGGGTTTGGTTTAGGAGAAACAATAACTTTTTGGAGGAAGAGACAAGAATTAAGTTTCTAGACACTCTATGTTACCTCAATATTATCTCTGCTATTTCTCCTCCTGTTCTGGAGGAGTAATTCCTTCCCTCCCGTTTGTACTTTTGCCAAAAGGTGTCAAAACTGCTTAAAAAAAAAAAAAAAAAAAAAAAAAAGGCTTAAAAAAAGCTTGAATTTGATTAATATAGAGAAACAAGACTTTGCCTGACTGATAATAAAACTGATAAATGACATTTGAATTACTTGTAGCAGTAATTTATTACATAAAATATCTTTTATTTGACATGCGATTAGTTGCTGGAAGCATCACTCAATCTGACTAGTTTAAACACGCTCTAAAATGAACCCCCAGTAAAAAACCAGGGCTGTCTGCTGTTGGCGTTATGAAATATACTAATCCAGCAGTGAGGACAAAAATCTGACTTTAAATATTTAAATGATTAATTGGGTTTGTATTTTTTTTTACCTTTCTAACCCCTGTAATTACAAGCAAACTCAGAGGAGTTTCTGAGCTAGGTGTGCAAAGCTGCATGCTTATCATCCAGGTATTGTCTGGGTCCTTCCCCATGGGATTTATGGCAGAGAACCATAAATGGGGTTTTGTGCAGATTTTACACCTGCTTAAAAATCAGCTCCAGTGACTGATTTTTTTGCCATTTGGATGTTCTTGTCCCACCTCTGTGTCTTCACTGTGTGGGAGGCTGTAGAATACATACTATTTTCTCTTACAATTAAAAATGGTAACTAGAATTCAAATTCTTTTTCCCCAAGTCATTTCCATGGGTTCACTGTTTGCTCTTAGAAAATCACCTCTTCCAGCCTCAGTTTCTGCAGTTTAAATTTGGATACTAGTGAGGTTGACCTTATTTGGATGCAGAAGACCTAATTAATTGATGTCAGGAAAGTTAATTCTGAGATGAATGGGGATCTTAAAAATTGTAAGTGTTTACTCTGGCAGTGCAATTTACAGTTGCTGCTGTGAAAATTAAACATACTTACAGAAAACACAGATTTACAGCAGGAGAAAGTGTCTGTGTCCCTTCTGTTTGCCTTGTGAGGGTCTCGTAGGTAGAATGGTTTGTTATTTCCCCAGTGCCTACACTGAAGCATAACTGGGATATTAGTACTTTTTCACTTTCTCTGAATTTTATTCCAGTTCTACAAGTGGGGAAATTGAGGATATGCAAAGAAGTTGGTGTGAGCACTGAGATTACAATTGAGAAACTTCAAACCCTCTCTCTACCCCACGTTTTGGAATAGAGTATTGCAGAGAAAAAGAAAGATTGCATGTGGATTTTAGGCAGAGCTGTGACATTCTTTGTAACATTGTAAAGTTGATGTGGTCACTGCAGAGACTTTACTGCGTCCCTCACTCACTTTTCCTCTCCACCTCCCTCGCTTTTTTTTGCCACAAGACAGAATTATTTCACACATCTCTAAAACGAGTAAAATGGCATTTCAGCTTCTTGTCTTTATAGACTCTCTGAACTTTTGGAAAGATCATTCTGGTCCCTTTTCATTAATAATGAAAACCAGGGGGCAATAAAATGTTCTTAGCTCAAGCATTACAGGAACGGAGAGAGAGATGAGTGAGGTGAAGGGGCAAAGCGGACAGGGTCCTACAGGTGTCTGTCCTTTCTACTCAGAGGTCACTGCAGCTGGGAGGTAGTTAGGGACAGCCAGTCAAGGACTGCCATGGACAGGGCACAGTTGGACCCACAGGCCCTCTGAGATTAATTAACCCTTTCCAATAGACAGTTCAGCCTGGCACAAGTTGTGTTGTCACAGAAGGATATTTTTAGTCAGAAGTTCAGGGCAGAGAACTGGGCAACCAAGAGACTTCAGGTACCAGAAATGACAGTGGGAGCAGAGTAAAGATGAGAAAGTGGGATGGATGAGTGGGGTTTGCAGCAAGATTAGCCAGAGATCATTTTAAATCCTGACATGTACACAGCCAGTTACTGCAGCTTAGCTGATGTGTGTTAACTCATTAAGTTAAAAAGTTATGATAATTTGATCATGTGCCTAAGCTCCAAAACTGCAACTGCAGCAACCCAAAATACTGCTGGTGACACTGTTCACCAATTCTGACAGTGATACTTCAATTTGCAAAGATTTCTAGCCAGTGGATAATTTGAGGAGCTGTGTCCTAAAATGTAGCAAGAAGCTATGAGTACTGGTATTTGAGAGTCAGCGCCTGTCTGTAGAGCCTGAGGGCTGGGATGAGGAGTAACTCTTGCAATGAAATGCCTGTGGAAGATCTCAGCAATGGGAAAAATGGCAATAGGTGAGCAAAGTAGAAAGGAGATAAGCTTCCAGCCCTTTCAGCCAGTTAAGTCTCCCTTTGAAAGCCTAAACTGATACTGTGGAGAACAGAATGCATTTCTGAGACATTGTAGCTCACATGTAGATTTGGATCTGTCTGTTTGGATACTGTACACCGGCCTCCACCTCATCATTTCTGCCCACATCCTGCCATTGAACTTTAGGAAAGATCACTCAGCATCCTCTTTATTATTAAAGAAAACTGGGGGCAGTACAAGATTTGTTAAGGGAACTGCGAGGGAGGTGAAGGATAAAGCTGGTGGAAAACTACAGGTGTCTTCTGATTCTGCTTGAAGGAGCAGAGCATACCATATCTTTGCTTTGCTCTGTGGAGCCTGTAAGCTTCTGTGCAGAATTGTGTGTTAAATATCTCAAGCTATTATCTACGTCTTTACCTCTCTCTGTAGATATTTAATTGCATATTTTCTCTGCTGTTTATGTGTGCTTTGGTCCCTATTCGTAATTCAGGCTTGGAAGACACTGGATCCTTCCTTATTGAAATGGTCTGTAATTGCTGACACAGTGTTCATAAACCCATTTATTGCCTTGATTTATATTCTTTCTCAAAACACTTCCTTCTTTCTTTTTTTCTCCCCTCTTCTGGGTCTCTGGCTCCATCTCCATCTTCAAAAATTATGATAGTGAAGAACAATTGGTATTCAAGTAGTGAGTTAACCTCAGCTAGCACTGACACCACCAGTTATCTGGGCGAAGTGCAGTAGGGTTCAGAGTGCCTTCTGCAAGGAAAGGGTAGGGCAAAACAGCTTGATGGAACTTTTTAAATTGCTGCTGTGATTTCTCTCCCTTTGACACCCTATGCAAGGCCAGTGTCAATGCTCGAGGTCTGGACAGATATTTCAGTGTCCCAGGGCCAAAAGCCTGCACAATGCACCTGAGGAACTACCAACATCCTAATGCCCCCCCCGCTCAGTAAATCTGTGCCTGCTAGAAACAGCAAAACCAGCATTATTCATTGCTCTTTTCTCTGATAAAACGGCTGTATGAAAATGTTGTCACTTGCAGTTCTGACTATGATTATTTCTTGATTTTGGCTTTTAGGTCCACCTGGCTCCAGATGGCGAGATTATGGGGCTTTGGCTATCATAATGGCAGGAATTGCCTTTGGATTCCACCAGCTCTACAAGGTAATAGCTCCCTCTCTACTCTCACACTGTACTCTGAGAGAGCAATGTTAGCACACTGCTTGTGTCCAAATGATCATGTTGGTTCCAAGTTGGTGAAGCATCTCTGTTCTTACTGACACTGCCATTGGTGTATTTGAGAAGATGCTCTGATGATCCTGCACTACGGGTAGGACAGAAGGTGCTAATTTCCAGGTCTGCTGTGCATTCTGTAGTTCTACTCCAGTGTGCTTAGAACAAGGTAGAGCAAGCGTGTGTCTGCTTGTGTATTGGAGAGGCAGCAGCCCCTTCTTATTTCTTGTGAAGTGTTTCTCCAATTTAACATATTCTTTCACTCTGGATTTGCTTTCCAGCAATGTGGTAAGTGACATTAGATAATTTCTTTGGTAAGCAATTATATTCTGGGGCTACATAGAAAGACATAAGTGGTTCAGGTCAACACAGCAGAGTATAAAGTGCTTTGGTCCAGCAGAAGGTATGTTTTACTTTTGAAGAAGAGACAGAGATGATGACTTATTGAGAGGTTGATGGTTTTCACATTTGTTTGTTCTTTATTAACTATTACTGCCTTGTTTAGTAAAATCTATTTTACAAATAAAAGGGTCGACCTTCTAGTTTAAAACTACTTTTTTTATCCTGTCTTATCATTAATTTTCTGGATCTCAGGCTAAGAGAGACCATATTAAGCAACATGTTCCATCTACGCAAATAAAGTTACATGATTCAAGAGAATGGCTTTTTATTGAGATACATTGTCCCTGTGTTTTTATATTAAAGTAGTGATGCCAACCTTACTGATCTTTTCATTCTTGCAAAGCATGGTGGGGCTGGTAAGTGTCCAGAGAGATGTTAGGACAACAGCTGCTGGGCCTTTCACACCTGAACACATTGCTGTTATTAGATAACACATATCTAACACATGTTGATGATTTATAGAATTTTTTTGGCATAATGTCATTGATGCTGTTAATATGTCCTACTGTTGTATTATTTGTTTATGGATCTTGCTCTGCTGTCTATCCAAACCTCATAAGACATACTGTGTGCCTAGCAGAGACCTATATTCTGTTATAGAAGTCTTTGGAGATTGATAAAATTTCTCTGCCCATCATGGGATTTTGAGGGAGTTTGCAAATAGTGATTTTTATATGAAAGATAGGATGCTAGGATAAAATATAGTTGTCCATATGTGTTCTGTGAAGATGAAGAGAGACTGTTCATGATAGTCATCAAAAGCTATTTGCTTTTCAGAATGTCTGAGTGTAAACATGTACACGTACATGTTTTTGAGGGTAAGAGCTGTGTACAGCAACACTGAAATCTTAAACCAGTGCTATGAAGTGTAAAAGAAGGCTTTCTCCTCTTCTTCCTACTTCTGCATTTCTTACCTTGTGGATGTAGCTCAAATGTTGTGACACATCAGTGTGTACATACTCCAGAGCGTAAGATCTGAAATTGTACTCTATATATGATGGATGTTTCTCTGGACTGAGAACTGTTCCAGGAAACCTTAAATGGAGTTAGGAACTGTTTTTTAGCACCCCCAAAAATGTAACCACAGAACACATCTTCTATTCTGCACCTACTGTAGAGGGAATTGCTTTTCTCAGCCACATGAGTTGATGAATGATCACTGGCTTTGTGATAAAGGCTGAGATTTGGATGGTGGGCTTTGTGGATGCTTCAGGTAGATTAAAAAGAGCACTTTGCCTACCCCAATTTCCTAAAAAACTTTCCATACTCCATGCAGAAATACCTGCTTCCTCTCATCATGGGAGGCAAAGAAGACAGGAAACAACTTCAGAGGATTGAGTCAAGCATTTCTGAGATGAGTGGCAGTGTGACACAGACAGGTAAAGATTAATGACTCCATCAATTCACCCCTCAAAGCCTTTCTCCCTGGATCTTCCATTCTGCCAAGACCCCCACCCTTTTCTTTCCCTCCGTCTCCACTTTATGTGGTGACTTCATTTATCTGCTCTGAGAATCTGTTCACATTTGCAAATGAAGCCGCCGTCATTTCGGTTTAATTTGAAATTGCTTGTTTACTGTCGGCGCGGCCTCAATTAATTATGTTTTTACGGAAAGGCTCCCAACCTCAGAATATTAATAAGGGGAATAAAATGACAGCCTTTCGGAGGGCTGTAAAGTTCATTTTTAATTTCTGCTTCTCTGATGTTTTCAGGGTCTTTTTTTTTTGGTGTTTTCCCCCCACCTTCCATCTGAAAATCCGAGGAAGGGTCAGGAGAGTCTGTAATTACTGTGCCTCCCTGACCTTAGCCACCTTCTCTGTTATTGACTCTATAGGGTGTCTATTCATTACCCGATGCCCTAATGATGGTCTGGATTAGCTGTTACCTGTCACACCAATAGAGTTTTTAATTTTGCTTTATTTTATCAGCTTGTTTACTGCCTGGAAGCTTTGGATAAAGTACCAAAGTAGAAAAAGTTCTCCTACAGCTGGAGTTGGAGTCCAGCAGAAGTTCTTCAGTGTCTCCTGGGGTGTAGGAGGGAAATACAGGGTGTTTTCCTGAAATAAAAGGGGAAAAGCACAAAGTGTATTCAGTTGGTGGGATGGAAGAAGTATGGTTTTCAGCAGTTGAGAGTGGAGAGGATGCTGATTACACTTTTTAGTGGCAGGTGAGAATAGCATCTTTCATTTCTCATGATACCCTAAGGTCAATCCTGAGAACAGCCTCTTCCCGGATTGGAGCTAGCCCCAGTGTTTGCCTGTGTGAGACCCAAGATAGATAAATGATACAAACATTGTATAAGTTCAGGGAGATGTACAAATCATAAACCAATATAATTAGAAGGGAGAGGTTTTGGACGGATATACTGTGGGCTATAGACATCTATACAATGGAAAGATAAACTAGAAATACTGGAGGTTAGATGCAGTGCAGGTAGATTACCCATAGTGCAGATAAATCATATGGATTAAAGTGAGCAGGCGGGCGTAGATAAATTAAATATAGTAGGAATAGAGGCATCTTTGTAGCTAGACAGCAGGAAGGACATGTGAGAGTGCGTATATGGGCACGTATCTCAATTTAACACTCTCCTGCTTTTTCACTCACAGTGACTCAGTTACAGACAACTTTAGCAGCTGTCCAGGAACTGCTAATCCAGCAACAACAGAAAATCCAGGAGCTCACCCAAGAACTGGCAGCTTCTAAGGTATCCACTTCCAGCTCTTCACCTTTAGAACATCACCATCTTCTTTGGAACATGCATGGCTTCTTTTGTGGGCACATTGAAAGCACCTTACTAGGTTCACAATCCAGCCTTCAACTCTGTCATATCCCCAGCGAGTTTCTCTGCATCTGACTTCTCCATAGGCTGTCAGTTTAAAGCACTGGATATTAACTGGGTACTCAGTGAAATACATCGTAACTTCTGAGAGGGCTTTGCTATATAGCTCTGTATGCAGCTTGTTATCTGAGGCCTCAGACCTGTTCTCGGCTTTATATCTTCTGCATTGCATTTGAGATGAAATAATTGTGCTGTTAGTCCACTGACCAAAAGGGGTAAAGTTGTACAGAGGTTTTATTTGTGTATAATATGCAATTTTACATATTTATATTTCTCCTGTACCCTTGTACATTGTCAAAATAATCACTTAGTCCTGTTCAGCCAAGCACACTCTTGAAGTACTACATTTAAGTCACTTGTTACGATCCAGGCCAGGTAATGGCTGAACATTCTTACTATTTGGTTTCTTGTTTCAGTGATTTTGGTCATCTTAGTGTAGCAGGTGGCCCCATCACAACCACATTAGTCACGCACAGTCCCTTTGACTACTGACTTGACCCTTGCAATAAAACCATCAGTTCTGACTAGTTTGTGTTTGTACATGTGTAACTACAAGTAACCACTTTTAACCAAAATTTCCTTGCTTTCTGACAATGAGAATTAGTGCTTTTCATCTCCTAAGTACTTTGCAGCCATTGGCCTAAGCATTCTATCAGCCAGAAGTGTTGGTTACCTGTGAGGTGGGGTGGATTTGAACCAGTGACACAGAGTTGAAGTCTTCCTTTCTTTCACAAACGTGATTATTCAGGGCCCAGTCATCTTGCAGTATTCTTTGTACAGAGATTTTGCTTTTTACTATGAAATCCCTTGGACAATGCTTACAGTCTTTTACCTATAGCATTAACAGTTGTCTTCTCCCCTTACCTATACTTTAATCTCGTACAAACCCTTTGATGCTGTGTAACTGGTGGGCCACAGCTGACTATGTGGTGTGCACACTGTACAGTAGGAATCCCTCAGTGGCACAGCTGTAAACCCAACCATGAAAGCCAGTTTATGGTCACAACACTCTACTTCAATTTTCCTTGGGAACTGTGGCCTGTCAGTGGCCTGGAGCCAGTCCGGAAATTGGAAAACTGTTTTCAGGTCTTAAGTGTTAAGATTAAGACCACATGTTGAGCTTTAAGAAGGAAAAAGGGCATAAGAGTCTTGGTGGTTTAGAGAGTCTTGAAGAAGTTTTTCCTCCCCCCTCTCTACCCCCTGCACTGAAATGGTAGCACACATTGTTATGATATCTAAACCTCATGTGTACAAAGAAAAACTTGGGCAACCCCACAAACCAAAGAATAAAAGCTGTGTTTTCTCAGCTGTAATGTAAGTTTTTATATCTGCTCTTCAAACTCCTACTGGCATGCTGTAAAAAATTAAAAAGAGGGACTTTAAGTAATTAAAAAACCTACATAAAAATTCAAGGGTTGAATTTTCTACAACTGTTTTTTAAAGAGACTGGCTAAAAAGCCCCAGATGTCAGATTTTATTTCTAAATCCTAGGCATCTGGCACCATATGTGTTTTGGAAATTTGAGTCCTTTTCAGGCCAGTGAGTGGAAATCACTCCCTTGTTAATGTGCTGCTGTAGCTTTCAAGGTCTTGGAAAGCCAGAACAGTGGCTCCTGGATTCTTGCTGTCTGAGGGCTGGGAGTGTGAATCCCAGGGGAACGCATCTGTGTATATCACAGCTACTCCAGACTCAGCCTCTCCCAGCTCACTGGGTTCACAGCCCAGAAGTCACTGGGAGGAGTGCTGGCTGTGAAGGTGTTCAGGGTTACTCAGCACTAGCTAAAGCCTATTTAAAGAATAAGTAGGAACTGCTGAGGAGGAGTTTTTTGTTATTCCCATCCTGGCTTCCTTTGTCAGGGGATTTATTAGGAGTATCTCTGGAGTCATGCTCACAAATGGGTTCATTCCTAATGGCTTTCAGCAGAAATTACTATGGGAAATGCTAGACATGAGTGTTCTTTGGTCCCATACTCAGCCCATTGCTACAGGAGTTGTTAGAGTGATAGGATGGGGTAACCATAAGCCATGATCTGTCTTTCAGAATGTTCCTCCCATTTCTCAAGTTCCCAAAAGAGTTAAAAGAAAGATTGCCAAAGATCTGCAGCATGTTCTCCTCCGTTGTCACCTTACTCTAATTTCTGCTTGATATCCCATAGCAATTCTGATGCAGTGCTAACGGCAGCTGTATCAGGCTTCCATGAGTTACTTATCATCTTTCCCCACCAAATTGCATTCATTGCCTTGAAATATGCAAGAGACAGTGCCTAGTCCAGCTGCTTCCTGGAGATACAATCTGGTAACTCAAGCATAGGTCTAATTCTTCAGATCTAGTAGGGAAAATTTTTGCAAATTTCAAACATCGATTTATCAGCCCACCTCTAAACACCACAGAGTGCAGATAATTGATTCTTTATTTCATGATTTAGGAGAAATGAACAAGGGGTTTTAAAATATACTTGAATCTGTTGCCTCAGCTAAGTGCAGTCACAAGAAAGAGTAAAGGACCCGATGCAGTGCAACTCCCACTGCTGTTCAGGATCCTAGTTGTAGTTCTTCTCTAGAAATCATTCATTAGGTCAGTGTCAAATGATTTAGTTTACCTCTTCGTGTATTGTTCGCTGTCTGATATGTTGGTGGAAAACAACCTATGTAGATCAAGTGTTGTCTGAGTTCTCACAAATGCTGGTCTCCTAATCGAAAAAGAAAGGTCCCCCTGAGGTGCTTCAAGCAGTGGTTGTGCATGGTATGTTGGAGACAAGATTAATTAGTGCCCCAAATGGAAAGCAAATATTTGAATAGTCTTAGCATCTTCAGACTATTATTATTTCTGATCAGCGTGGGGACACATTCAGGTCCTTCTTTATGGTGGAAGTTGTTTTGCTCATATCTGAGAGATTTTAAATGATAGTGCTTATGTATGTTATTCCCAGGGCTCAATATTCTCAGATGGGAGGAGGATAACACAGAAAAAAGTGACATTTGTAAAGTATGTCCCAGTTCATACTTTGACCTCTATGTCTTCTTTTTCATGTTCTAGGCCACAACTTCCACCAACTGGATTCTGGAATCGCAGAATATTAATGAATTGAAATCTGAGATCTACTCGTTAAAAGGACTCCTCCTGAACCGGTATGGATGGAATACGTGAGCAGATTATTGTGTGGGGAAAGGGTTGCTTTCTGGGATTCTTTCAGTCATGGAGAGGAAAAACATTTCCAACAGGAACTAGCTCTATATCCTGTTATTGCTATTTTAATAATACCACTTTGCACTCCACTATCACTTTCTATTTGCAGGTCTCAAAATGCTTTTCAAACTTGCCTTAAATCACAGAGCGCTTTGGGTAATTCGTAAGATTTTTCCTTTTTGTTTACGATGGAGGAATTCTCTGCCATTCACCAGTCAGGGTGCCTCTTACCTAGTTTGAGATGTTGACTGCATCTGCACCTGCGTTCTGTTACAGAGAGAGTCACTTCTGCATACAATTCAGCTGACCTGTTCATGGTTAGGTCATAACCAGAATGAAAAGAATCACACTTCAGCAGAGCCTGTTTCTCTCTATTAGCTAGCTCAGGTATAGACATCTCATAATGTAGTAGACGTCTGAAATGAGGTGATATAAGTCCCAGCCTGTCATTTAAGTTCCAGTCACAAGAACAGGGATCAGATCTCAGTTCTTGAGGAAACTCTTTTTTTCCCCAAGTACATAAGAGTTTATCCAGCTTTTTAGCTGTTGCTCCTTTCACTCTGATATGACTCCTTTGCCTCCTTCTACATGTACCTAAGTCTTCTCAAGTCATCTGTTTCCTAAGAGATGCACTTCAGAGATCAGTCTAAGATTAGACTAGACGTGTTCTGGATCTCAGCAGGTGGGCTTTTCAGAAGTCTGAAAGGTGTAGGCTTTAATGTCCTTTTAAATTCTCGCTACACCTCCCATTCCTCCCAGGAGTCACAGTAGAAAGCTTTGGAGGATTGAGGACACACATTAAGTTACTGTCTGTTAAGCTGGGTCATACTAGCATCACTGCTGGGGAGAGAGCACTAGGTAATGACAACTCTTTGGCAATGGGAAAATTGCAGCTGGGGGAATAAGTGCTTTCTGGAAAAAATAAAACTTTTGGGAGGGTTGTTTTTTAACAAAATGGCAAATGTTTCTGCAGTGAGGAGGCAGCAGCAACACCAGAGCCAAGAAAGTCTCCAGACTGAATTTGTTGATTGCTTTTATGATACTGGTTGAATAATGCAGACATTAGCTTATTGCACTCACAGGAGTTGAAGGTTAGATCAGCAGAGTTATTCCATGGCTGGTGGTGACAGCAGGAAGAGCGAGGTGAGAGCAACTACTGTTCCTAGTTCAGTCTAAGAAAATGTAATCTGCTGTGTTTGAGCACTCACTGTAGGAGAGCAGCCAGCTTTCATCTGCTCTGGTCTTGTCCTTGGCACTAGCCAGTTCACCTGAGGGGCATGAGAACTCCCTGCCACACAGCATCCTCTTCAGAGCTTGACCTGATACCTCTTCATACTCTTAATTTTCACACACACAAGCAAGGATGCCTGGGGAGTACTAGATCAGACATGCTTTCTTGCTTTGCTCTTCATGATGGATGACTTTCTGAGGGCACCAGTGTTCCCCATTGCACTTAGATTTGTCCTGTTTGGTACTTGTATTCTCCTGTTAGGGCTGGGCATTAGCCTGCCTCCATCAAATCCTTAAAGCCCACCTGGAAAGGACTCGAGGACAGAGCAGCCAGCTTTCTCAGCTGGTGCAAGCTAGTGTGACTCTATTCAAGTCAGAGAAGCTGAACCAGTTTGTGGCAGCCAGGACCTGGCCCAAACATGTAAAGTGCATGCTGGCACTAGGAGATAGGCTCTGGATTGTAATGAGCCAGCATGCAATGACTGTGTATCACAGTGGAGGCGAGAGCCAGGTGGTGAAACTTCTTGGCTCGGGCACAAGGACCTCGTGTGTCTGACTTCTTGCTTCACTGGGAATTTTCTTTACCAATTAATTAGTGATTGTTTTATAAAGGGACACTCATGTCTTTCCACAGACAGCATTCCTGAGTGCTAGCTTACTCTGTGAAATTGGCCAAACCAGATCTTTTTAGTGCTTCAGATTGCCCAGCTGTGCTATTTTCCTTGTGTGCAGGCTCAGTTACTGGGTGCCTGTAAAGCACTTTGAGATTCTGGCTGAAGAAGTGAAGTGGCCTTGGTTTTGTTCATTTAAGACAACAGAAACTTGCAGTTTCAGTCCTGCTTTACATGACTTCCCTGGTGCAAATACCATTCTCTCTAATGATTACCCCTCAGTGTTTTTAATAAAAGCCCCTTTCTCTCCTTTTCTTCCCCTCCCCCAAGGAGGCAGTTCCCTCCCTCCCCTTCGGCACCTAAGATCCCATCATGGCAGATCCCAGTGAAGCCAAGCTCACCCTCCAACCCTGTTGTTGCCAACCATAATAGCAGCAGTGACATCTCACCTGTCAGCAACGAGTCTACCACCTCATCACCAGTCAAGGAGAACCACAGCCCTGAGGGTTCGAAGGTCAGCTGTCATCTGCTGAGCACAGAGGAAGGCAACAAGGCAGTGATTGACGTCAAGACCCAAGTGCGGATGGAGGTGCAGGGTGAGGAAGAGAAACGGGAAAACAAAAGGAATGAAGAGGAGGAAGAGGATGATGAGGATGATGATGTTAGCCATGTGGATGAGGAGGAATGTCTGGGTGTCCAGACTGAGGACCGGCGAGGAGGGGATGGTCAAATTAATGAGCAAGTGGAAAAGCTACGAAGACCTGAGGGGGCCAGCAACGAGAATGAGATTGACTAAGTCGCCCTGGCTTCTGCTGCTGCTGCTGTACATCTTCCCTAGCCTCCTGCACTGTCCCGGTGCCTCTCCCATTTTGTGGAGAGAAGTGCCACCATCCCCTCCAGTGATTCTCCCATGATTGACCTTGAGTAGGGTCATGATTGCCCAGTGAGCAAGGTGGGCCCTGTTTCACCACAGGGCATTGCAGTGGCTTCTTGTTCCCTCCCAGACTCACCTTCTCCCCATGAGCTGGAATCACTGCCTAGGCTGGAAGACCAATCGCCTTACCATGCACCACAGCTACAGAAAAAGTCCTCTAACAAAAACATCTCTCCTGAAACAGTCAGCCTCTTTGCTGCATCCTAGAGTCCTTCTATCCAATTTCAGAAACCAATCTGTCCCAGGTTCTTTGATTCACAAGCCTTTAGTCCCAGTATAATGCCCAAACCAGTTTTCTGTTTCCCAAAATAACCCTGTTTTATTTCTCAAACTACTTGATATTCTGTTGCCAAAAAAACAATGTTTTAACCCTGAATTCCTCACCAGATCTCAGTCTTGGCTCTTCCAAGTTTTGTGTCAAGTCTGAAATTGCTGAAACTACCTAGCATCTAAAAACACTAAATTTCTGTGGGGTCCAAAGAAAACTATTTCCACCCCACGTGCTTACACTCATCAGAGTGGCCTCTTGCTAGGGACCAAGTCCAGGTTTCATGGCCACTGTAAAATCCATGAGAACAGATGGCTTTGTAACCACTTTCCAGTAAAAGAAGGCTTTAAAAGAAGTTGACCCCACTTATCCCAATTATTACCCTTCCTCCTCCAAAGACAAGGAGCTCACATCAGGTTTTGACATCTTACATTTTTGTTTATAGCTGCCCTGAATGAATGTATGAATGAGGTAATATCAGATGCTGAAATAGTTGGTTAATTCTGAATCTTTGCAATGGTTCTTTCTCCTCCCTAAATGAGGAGAAAACCCATCTTAAATGATCAGTTGAGACCTGTACCTACCCAGTGACAGGCACCTGCTTCAGCACAGCAGTCTTTACAGAAGAGAGAACAGTTCCAGCTCTGAGGTACACCACTGGCCCTTCTTGCCCAGTCCAGCCCTTTTTTTACCCCATTGGGGCTATACACAAATTAAAACAGTGAATTTTGAAACCTCTCATTTGCAGCATTGTGTTCTCAGCTGGTAAAATGGTGGTGTCCAATTATATTATTCACTGCATCAGAGCCTCTTAGCAGAGCAATTCTTGTAACAACTGAATCTCACTGTCCTCACCAAGCAAGTGTGCTCGTCTGTGTGATCATGTATAGATTTCAAATATAAAATACGATTGTATATAATTGTAATAAATATGAGTTACCACTATTTAACATCAGGCTGTTATTGGATTACTGTGGCTCTTATTTTGGGGGAGAAATATGCATGCAGGGTGGTAAAGGGAGGGAAAAGGGACTATTACAGAAATTCAGGCCTTATAAAATGTTTTCTGAAGGACATTTATGGTTGATTTTTCTGACTGCTCCAATACTAGGTTATATCAGCAGGAGGTGGTGTAGAGAATGGTGTAAGTGCAATATAAGGTACAATATAAATAGCTCCAACAACACTAATGCTGGGTTGCCTCCGACGTTGCAGAGGGTGAGATGGACGCATCATCTGGTGAGTACATTGCAGCGATTCTGGTTCCTTTCCTCCCAGCAGGAGGCTCTGCAGGGTGCAGAATGCAGCACCCAGCTCCTTTCCACCCCCGGCAGCAGGAGGTGCTGAAGGGAGCATGTGAGATATCCCACGCCCCCTTCATCTTATCTCCCAGCAGGGAATGCTGTGCCATGTCCCATGACTGGTCTAACCCTGCTGCATCAGTACAGAAGCCATTGAAAGAAATGGCGTACAGCAAGTAATCCGTAGCTTCTGCAGTCCCATCTTTGTTCAACTGAAGTATTTGGCTCCCTTATTAAAAATGAGGGATTTACTTGATTCCTGAGTATTTGGGTGTCTGGTACACAGTGACATTTTCCTGCTCAGAGGGAACGAAAGGGACCTTCATATTACTGTATTTAGACCTGCTGCTGAATGTGATGATTTCTCATTCCTTAAATGGACGAATATCTTCCCCAGGAGTGAGTGAGTGTGTGTGTCTCTCCCCCTCTCCCTCTCAGTCTCTCTCTCTCTCTACTGTTTAACGTTCACAAAGAACGTCACGTTTAGCTAAAACAGGGCAAATTTGAAAGTGTTTAAAAGGAAAGGGTTTTCTTAAGGGATGGCACTTTTCTTTTCTCCAAGCCAAGAATCCTTGTGAAAAGAAAACACGACTGAACGCAGGGATGTGATGAAAAAGTATTGTCCTGCCTGTGTACATTTTATATACATAGAAGGTTTTGAAAATAGAAAGTGCCTGGACAACAGCAGTTGGTGAAATGTGGAAAATATGTTGCTGAGGTATGTGCCTTGCAGAGTGACTTACGAGGTTTACAGTACAAGCATCCCTGCGGGTTCATTTTTCCCCCCTTTTCCTCCATGTGGCCACTGTTCAATTCATTTACCTCAGGATTTCTGGTACAAAGTAAAAGGCAGTTTTCTTCAACTGCCTTTTTTCCTTCCTTTGTTTTTGCTTCTTAGAACCTTTACCAATTCAATAGGTCACAGTTTTTCCTTTCCCCAGTGTCTTGGATGAATCCCAGAAAACTCCATCATAGCTGTTGTTGCTCAAAAAAAATCTAACTCTGGGCCTCTGGCTGCTGATGGGTTGTTTGTGTACTTTGTTGAAGAGACTCAACCCACCAGCAGAGAATTTGGAAGAAGCCAGACCTTCTTACCAGCAGGTATTGTCATGAATCACGAGTTTTATTCCTCTGCCTTGTGTTCCTTGTCTTTCCAGTGTAGCAACAGTTGTAGGGCAAGTGTTTTGGTCCTTATGAACTGCGTAGTCTGACTGATAACTTGTACTTTTTTCTTTTTTTTTTCCTTTTTTTTTTTTTTTTTTTTGCTAGAAACAAATTTCTTAGATCAGGATCAGCTTCCCTGTGAAATGTTTAGCCCACTGGAAGCAATGAGAATGGCATCATATTAGCTGCAAGATGACCAGGTAGTGAACATTTTCTCTGCAGAACAAGAAAAACAGCAGCAGCAGTTACCCACCATCTGGCTTATTCAAGTACTCTATTTTACTGTGTAAATCAGCCTTTGTTTTGACACAGAAAGAAGAATAACAACACCCTGGTTGGTGAGTTCAGGGGGTTCATAACAGTTTCTATAGGTCTTTGATAGCGTATAGAAAGCAGGTGAAGGGAGCTTCCTCTGAGCAGTGTCATTTGAGCACGTTTCAGTGAAACCCGATGAGCCTTTGCCCTCTCTCCTAGAGGAAACAGTACCAGGCTGGTGCTTTCCAGTAATTTGAGGATATGAAAGCTCCCTTTTCAATAGCTGCAAGAGAAATGTGGGGAACTCAAAAAATGTGACAAAGTGGGAAAGGGTTAAGAGAGTTGTCTCTGATCATCTTTGTCCAACCTTCCTCACCCCCAGATGTGACAAGTCCTATGTGCATCTCCATCAGAGGCAGGAAGAATTTTTTTTTTTAATTGCCTTCTGTGTGTTGGGGGTGTACCCTAACAGTGTTTGGGACTGGAAGGAAGGGGATGGACCGTAGGATCCCTTGCGATCTTACTGCTTTGCTGCATGATGCTTTGCAAAGTATTTTACTTCTAAGTGTGCCTCAGTTTCCACAAGTGATGGTAAGAAACACTGGCTGGTAGATTCAGAAATGTAACGAAGACAAGTTGATGAGAAAACCAACTTTGGGAAGCAGGTTTCGTGCTAGGTCCTGCAGCTCACACCAAGACCTCAACCCCCATGAACTGCTGTGCTGGAGCGAGAGCCCCAGCCCCCGTGCTGGCTGTGCCAGGCTGCAGCACACCACCAGCTGTAGCCACTGTCCCCTAACGGCCTGGGCTGCACAGCTGCGTGAGAGGAGCTGGAACAGCCAGCATTGGTCAGTTAGACAGCTTGCCCTGCCTTGGAGGCAGACATTTTAGATCTGGTCTTTGCAACTCAGGTTCTTCTGGCAAGTAAGTGCTTTTTAATAATTACGTTGTCTTGTCATTTTGTCTTCAGTAGATTGGAGGGAACTGGCTGAATTTCCAGGGGCTACCTCACCCTGGTCTGGGGCTTGTTAGAAGGGTTACGAGAAGGTCTGTCCTGATCCATAAGGTGGAAGGAAGCATGGTACATGCTGGGCTGCTGTCTGGGGCAGGGAGGGGGCTGTGGAAAAACCCAGTCTGTGTCTGCCCCGTTGGCTTTCATTTGCAGTGCCTGCTACAGAAATGGAGGTGGCCTTTGCTTCTCCTTTGGTGGGGCAATGTGGTGCTTGGAGAAAACAAAGGCTAGACAGCAGGTCCAGAGTAGCTTTTTGTTGTAGACCTGTTGTGTTAAAGTCAAGGTCTCCATGCTTGACTAGAGCATGGTTGTGGAGCACATAAGTGTTTCCCAAGGGCTTTGCCAACAGGAAGCTTTGGAACGTCCCTTCTGTGTGGTGGTGCTCTAAGTTAAGCACAAATTGTATGTGGTGGTGACCCTGCACACCAAAAACTGGTGTTAAGCTTGAGCTGAGAGTCTTCCAGTCTGGACTGGGCTGGTGGTATGCAAAATGCAAAGCAAGAGAGGGGCTTGGCCTCTAGGGATTGAAAATATAAATAAAGGGATGCTGGGAGGTGAAATATAGGAAATTATTTACCTAAGCACACAGGAGAGAGCGTCCAGCTTTCTTCATTTTCCCTTTTATCATCTTATTCCCAGACTACGCTGTTTCCTCAGGAGTCAGCCTCTGTAGGCACCTTTAGAGCTGTGTCCACCTGTTACGCTGATGAAAGGCGGGCTCATACCACTATGTATGCTCTCAAAAAATGAAATAAAATAATGGAAATGTACCTAAGGTGAATTTTGGGGTATCAGGGAAGATGGAGGCCAGGGCCCAACTCCTCCACTTGCTGTGCAGCAGAAGCTCTGAACTGCACACTTGTAGATTGAGGGGCTGGCATGGTCTCTCCAAGCTCAGGGAAAAAAACAATCCCATCCCCAAAAGGGAGCAAGCACTAACCTAATAAAGGCACCAGCTGGACGAAGGGAAAACCAGCTCTTTGGAAAAAAAAAAAAAAACCCAACCAAAAAAAACCCAACCTCCTTTCATTAGAAAAATAATATATTTCATCCAAATAAGGTAAAAATATTTGAAATGGGGCAGAAGTGAGCACTAGGCAGCATCTGTCAGGCCCTTTCTGAAAAGGGGAAGATTATTAAACTCAATTACAATTTATTTTTGTAAAGTGTCTTTCAGACTAAAAATCTCCCCAAATGCTTTGCAAGGACTGCTCAGGGGTTACTTACAGTATGGAGCATCTTAGAAGAACACCCCTGTTTTCCCACCAAGCCCTTCTTTTCTGCATCTGCTGAAGGATTTAACCCTTCAGGATTTTTTTTTTCTTC